CTACGACGCATATTTAGGTATGTTACAATTGGAGTGATAAAGTTAATATACAATCCTTGAAGATGGAGGGTATAAAAATGAGCTTGGAAGTGTAATGGCACAAAATTCAGTTTACGGTTGGTATATTAACGACCAATAATGTACGACAGTATTGACTTGGCGCCAGTTAATAAATCTTCTAAAAAACTCTATGATTAAAATATATTGTAGCCAAAATTGAGAATCTAGAGAAATCAGTCAGTTTTAGCCGCAACACGTTTTAACAAAGACATGAGCCTCAGTACTGCAATCATTCTTACTTAAAAATAGTGTATAAAAATGTGCCATCTTTAACGATGTGGCCAAACTGGGATTACATTAATCCAAATCGAGCCGTCTTTCACCCGGAAAGAAACAGTTCGAAAGTCACATTGGTTTATAATGATTTGTATAAAATAAAATACCGTTACTCAGATAACAGTTAAATAAACATATGCCCAATTATACAAAATAATTGAATTTCATTAAAACGAAATCTTTTTAATCGACCAAGGGAAGTAATATGATGTTTGTGCAGCAGTAATTGGCAATTAGTATTTTGGAATCTATTTTCGGAGTTCCTTGCCATTCACCGTTGTTGGAGTTACTTATTAATTGCTGCTTATATGGAATGCCATAGCGAAATAAAATTGCTGCTTTGTTTTGCCGTTTAATGCACATAGTTACACATATTAAAAATGCCGTCTCAATTGATCTGCAATGTTTGCAATGAGCATATTTCAAAATCTAAATACTAAGTGGATGCACTGGTTGTGTGAATTTCTTTCATTTGGATTGTGTGGGTGAGTCTAAAGCTGAGGCTCGAGTTAATAACCCGCTTGTCCGCGGATACATTCCGTAAGTCATTATACCATTGTGCCCAAAGGAAGCACAAGTACTTACTCGCCAATACCTAGGCAGTGCGTTTGAGTGATGAATTTAACGTGGGGATGTCATAGGCAGTATACAATCGCCGACTCCTCGCTTACGTTCCGTTAACGAAAACAGTGACGAACATTCATAATAGTTTTCATTCAAGCAAATATAATGACGAAAGGAACACTGAAGCAGTATGAACTACTACGTTTATGCTAAGTAATGAACGGTTGTATTAATGTTTGATAATGAACTCCTTCATTGATGCATCGAAGTGTTTTAATTCTTTATATATTTACCTTTAACTTACCAGGTGTAATGTTCTTTTAGTAAATTTTACATAGTTTTTGTATTAGTTACATATTTTTATTATAAAAGCTAAAACAAACAAAAAATAAAGATAATAAAAAAATTAATTGGCGTATATATATATATATATATATATATATATATATATATATATATATATATATATATATTATTTTCAATTTCAATATAGACACAATACAAATTGTTGTACCGAATGTTGAAGCTCTACGTCAAATAATATGGGATGTATAGTGATTTCAACAGACATATAGACGGACAGACGGATATCGTTAAGTCGACTTAGAATTTTGTGCTGATATTTAGGTATGTTACAAATGGAGTGATAAAGTTAATATACAATCCTTGAAGATGGAGGGTTTAAAAATGAGCTTGGAAGTGTAATGGCACAAAATTCAGTTTACGGTTGGTATATTAACGACCAATAATGTACGACAGATATTTGATAGTGGCAATCTTATTAATTCGGTGCCGAATTCGCCCCCTTGTAGCTTGTGCTTCTGTGGTTGATGATGTTGTTTTTGTTGGCAGTTCTGATACTATGCGCCGTTGGCAAGATGACTTTACCAATTTCAAATTTCTGAGGTGAAAAGCAATTTGAATGTACTCAGTAGTTCAGTGGATGAATTGAAGTCAGCTGTTAGTGAGGTGAAGAGCACTGCTGGTGGGTGCCGTTGTATGTGCGCTATAGGAAAACTTGGAGCTAGGTAGTCAATATTCCGCCACCTTTAACACATTGCGATCTACAAATACCATTATTTATCAGGGGTGCGTTGCGTGGGGGGTATACGAAAACGTAGACCTATATGTACTATGTTCCACCACAATACGAACTTCAAATACAATTTTTAGACAAATCCGTGAAAAAATGTGTGGAAAATGATCAAAATACCGAATATCGGAAGGTACCATTATATGGCGCTACACGAAAACTTGAACCGATATATATTATTTTCAATACGAATCATCCTAGACACAATACAAATTGTTGTACCAAATGTTGAAGCTCTACGTCAAATAATATGGGATGTATAGTGATTTCAACAGACATATAGACGGACAGACGGATATCGTTAAGTCGACTTAGAATTTTGTGCTGATATTTAGGTATGTTACAAATGGAGTGATAAAGTTAATATACAATCCTTGAAGATGGAGGGTATAAAAATGAGCTTGGAAGTGTAATGGCACAAAATTCAGTTTACGGTTGGTATATTAACGACCAATAATGTGAGGGTATAAAAATGAGCTTGGAAGTGTAATGGCACAAAATTCAGTTTACGGTTGGTATATTAACGACCAATAATGTACGACAGTATTGACTTGGCGCCAGTTAATAAATCTTCTAAAAAACTCTATGATTAAAATATATTGTAGCCAAAATTGAGAATCTAGAGAAATCAGTCAGTTTTAGCCGCAACACGTTTTAACAAAGACATGAGCCTCAGTACTGCAATCATTCTTACTTAAAAATAGTGTATAAAAATGTGCCGTCTTTAACGATGTGGCCAAACTGGGATTACATTAATCCAAATCGAGCCGTCTTTCACCCGGAAAAAAACAGTTCGAAAGTCACATTGGTTTATAATGATTTGTATAAAATAAAATACCGTTACTCAGATAACAGTTAAATAAACATATGCCCAATTATACAAAATAATTGAATTTCATTAAAACGAAATCTTTTTAATCGACCAAGGGAAGTAATATGATGTTTGTGCAGCAGTAATTGGCAATTAGTATTTTGGAATCTATTTTCGGAGTTCCTTGCCATTCACCGTTGTTGGAGTTACCAGGGTTGGGCATATTGCACTAAATTTTTAGTGCACTAAGAATTAAATAATTAGTGGTAGTGCAATTTTTAATTCCACTACCACTAAAGGGTTAGTGGTAGTGAAAAATAAATTGCACTACCACTAACCCTTTAGTGATATTTAAAAAAAATTGCACTACCACTACATTTTAGTGGTAGTGAAATTTTAATAGCACTACCACTAAATTTAGTGATTTTTCAAAAAAAAAAAAAAAAATTGCACTACCACTAAATTTTAGCGAAGCCAAAAAAAGCACTATGTATATAAGTATTGTACCAGCTATAACAAAGTTTATTGAAGTGAGTAGGGAACAACAATCCAGAATATATAGTATATAGTCATAAAATTTGATTACTTTTCTAAATAGCACTAATTTAGTGCTATTTTTTATGAAATACCACTAATTTAGTGCAAGTTTTTTTAAATACCACTAAATTTAGTGGTAGTGCGGTTTTTTTTTTTTTTTAATATCACTAAAGGGTTAGTGGTAGTGCAATTTATTTTTCACTACCACTAACCCTTTAGTGGTAGTGAAATTAAAAATTGCACTACCACTAAATGAACAGTGATAGTGAAATTATTAGTGCACTAAAAATACAGTGCACTATGCCCATCTCTGGGAGTTACTTATTAATTGCTGCTTATATGGAATGCCATAGCGAAATATATTTGCTGCTTTGTTTTGCCGGTTAATGCGCATAGTTACACATATTAAAAATGCCGTCTCAATTGATCTGCAATGTTTGCAATGAGCATATTTCAAAATCTAAATACTAAATGGATGCACTGGATGTGTGAATTTCTTTCATTTGGATTGTGTGGGTGAGTCTAAAGCTGAGGCTCGAGTTAATAACCCGCTTGTCCGCGGATACATTCCGTAAGTCATTATACCATTGTGCCCAAAGGAAGCACAAGTACTTACTCGCCAATACCTAGGCAGTGCGTTTGAGTGATGAATTTAACGTGGGGATGTCATAGGCAGTATACAATCGCCGACTCCTCGCTTACGTTCCGTTAACGAAAACAGTGACGAACATTCATAATAGTTTTCATTCAAGCAAATATAATGACGAAAGGAACACTGAAGCAGTATGAACTACTACGTTTATGCTAAGTAATGAACGGTTGTATCAATGTTTGATAATGAACTCCTTCATTGATGCAGCGAAGTGTTTTAATTCTTTATATATTTACCTTTAACTTACCAGGTGTAATGTTCTTTTAGTAAATTTTACATAGTTTTTGTATTAGTTACATATTTTTATTATAAAAGCTAAAACAAACAAAAAATAAAGATAATAAAAAAATTAATTGGCGTACTTTCACAGCTTAAGTTAATACTATATACTTATATATTTCAAAAAGGAACATTTCGGTTGGAACAGGTGCTGGTAAAAGTGTTAAGGTTACCAACAAAATTAAATGGCATTTTTCACAGCCTAATACTTATGTATATATATTTCAAAAAATGAAGACAAAAAGGTGTTTGTAAAAATTATAAGAAAATAAAAAAAATAATTCAATCAGTTTGAAGAGGCAGATTTCCTTGCCAGCGACATATTTTTGAAAATTCACCTTTTTTGAACTTGAAGGGCTTTTCGGACGTGTTCATCTGGTGGCCCAACACTGTTCGCATTGGTCAGTGACACTGCTTCTGAAATAGTGAACATGTTTGTTAAATTTTACATTCAATTAAATAATGTAATATTTTTACCTAAAAGAATTGCAAACTATTGTGGGTGTTCTTTTAAGCTTTTTTTCCCCTGTACACCTTTAACATTATAGGCCATTATGACATTGTCGCCTAAGATGCGTCTTAAATTTTTTTGGACTCCGGCAGGTTCCAGCAAACTCCTCATGGCTTTTATCTGAACAAATAGAGTTGGGGAATGACTCCTACCCGCTTAAGTAATGAAAGTGAAAATATATCTTACGTATTTTTTCTTGTTGTCAGAATGTATTTTTGATTCGATTTCAGTCAATCTTTCTTCCGTTTCTATTGGAAATATTTCTAATAGTGAGTCGTCTTCACAAGTTTGGTGTAAACATTTGCTAATTAATACTTTGTTCTCTGCCAGGGCTTCAGAAATTAACTTCATTTGACCTAAAAACAAATATATGTACAATATAAATAAAAATAAATTAAACTTAATTAACAATTTTACTAATGATATTTTCATTTAATTAAAAATATATATATTAAAAAGATTTACCTAGCAGCACGTTCATCTGTCCTTGTATGCTGTTTGTGGATCCGTTTAATTGCTCAATTTTTTTAAACAATTCATTTATGTTGGTGTTTGATCTGGTGTTTGGTCTGAAATCAAAATGTTTATTTATAACGAGTATATTCCAAAAAATCTTTATAAATAACTCACCTTCGGAATAATTAGCGATCTTTATGCGTTTTATTTGTCTTGTGGGACTAAGCGAAGAATTCATAGTGTTCTATGTTCTTAATGTTTAAAAAAAGGACGGTTACGAAAAGCATTAAAGACAGGCATGTAAAATGGGAATTAAAATGAATTGTGATATATAAGGAAATTTAACAGCTTTAGTTTGTATGCCACTCAATTGAAAATAATCAATATTGTCCGAAATTTTAGTGTCTACTAAAAAATTCCAAGTGTAATTGAGTCACATGGCTTTTTATAAAAACTCTGTATGTTTAAAAATTTCCGTCCTATTAACGTACCACCATTTTCTTGTCAAAAACCATGGACCTGCACAGGTATTCCAGGTTCTATGTAGCAAATATTGTCCGGTGACTTCGTCGTTAAACAACAATTATTAAAGAAAAAATTGTTTTCAACTGAGTTAAGGCCTTTGCTTACTTTTTTATGCAAAATTTTTCTTCAACTACTTTCCGAAATACTTGTTCCAAAATCTTTGATGGCCTTTTTACACATTTTTTTAGACTCTGCAAATAATTCTCACTATTAATAACTTCTATAGTGCATTTGAGATGAAGGAGATTATGTACGTTGTACGAAACACTATTTTCCCCAAAAATGATTGGGAAGTTTTCTACGAACAAGTTTAAAAGAATTTTAATTGTTTGCAAATTGTTGATGCATTGCTTTGGACAGCATATCATTCTATACGAACAATGCAATAACAAAAATTCGTAGAAAACATCTTCATGTACCTCGTTTTTAAGAACAACGATACCAGTATACAGTAAAAACTGTCTGAACTCAGTGGCTTTCCAATATGATATATCATCCAAAATTCACGTGAAATATAACCTCGGAGAGAAATCATTTTTTTGAAATGTTTTGCATATTTCCAATTGGAACTTGGAAAAAAGTTTTCTTATTAATTAATCGCAGTAAAAACTTTCGCATGACGCCTAAATCTACCAAATGCATGCAATCTAATGGCATTTGCGTAATCATGGATAAATTGAGGTGTTCTAAAGGAGTTTTTTTTTTGCCAAATACTTTGTCATATGGTGAGAAGGATATTTCCGAGCTGAAAAATCGTCATCTGAAATAAGTATTGCACTTGATGTGCTATACGTTAAAGTTCCATCAATTTTTCGTGCTATTTGCGTGCACTTTGAGCATCCGTGTCGCGACGTATGAGATGGTGTACCAGAAATGAATGCTTTAGCTGGAGCATCACAAAGATCTGCTCTTATTTTAATTCTGTAAATATCACCTTGTAATTCCAAACCAGTTTCATAATAGGATGACATTTCATCAACAAATTTTGAGAGAAATTCTCCACATTCAACCGGTTTACTTTTCCCAACAAAAACACCAACTGGGAATACTGGATGATTTTCTATATTGATAATTCTAATTAAAATTTGCGCTTTTAAAGAGAGGCAACCCGTCTATGTTAACGCCAATTACAATGTTTTCAGGCAATTTTACGACAGCGGCTATCCCCTTTAAGTTGCGTGACATACCATATGACCCACCTGCAATTTTTTCCACTATCGGCCTATCTGAACAATTGAATTTATAAAATGGAGTGACAACAATCTGTTCTTCCTTAAGAATTTCTATTAAGTCCTTTACGCAATTGCGTGAAGGTCTATGTTTTATGTTCCATTCCATTAATTTGTCGCTTATATTTCTCTTGCCACTCTCTGTAGAACTTTCACATTCAGTCACTATTTTAATCTGTTCTGCTCTATTTTCACTTAAATTACTACTTTCAACATATTCCTTGTCTTTTTGTGAGCTGTCCACATTTTCTACCCCAACATTTATAACTTTTTTCACAAACGTTTCTTTTTCCATTTTTATTAATCTTTTTAAATGCCTTTTGCTTATCATCTTCCTTACCTTTTTTTAGCAAACAAGAAAATTAAATATAAAATATTTTTGAAATTCTTCTCACTTATTGTCACACAAAACACAAACACTTGACTTCACTCTTGGTCAGGAAAACACAAAATAAAATTGATTCCTCCCCCAATCTAACAACGCAAACGCATTGTCATTAACGCCACTACTCGACAATCACAACACTGAAGTTAGCGTTTAGCGACCAACTCAAAAGTTTTTCACAAGAAATGCATAAGTTGGAGGCCAGACGCTTAACGCTTTGTTTGTGTTCATCGTGAGCACTGAAATATGACAGCACAACAAAAAAAGAGGAAAAGAGAAGAAGTGAAGTATAAAAAAATGTGTAAGAACAGTTACTTAACGTAGCCCGCTTGCTTATTAAACGTTAACGAATTCAGTAGTATTGAATACACATAGTACGTAGGTACACTAGTGTAAGTACTTGCGATTGTAGTCGACGAATTTATTACTGAAAAAACGAGATGTTTTGATGCGAAATAATGGGGGATTGTCTTCTTGAATCCCGGGTGTACATAATGTACAATAGTTGTTTATTTAGACGTTTAAGATATGCAAGTTTTTGTTGATCTTAGTTTGTTATTTTTCTTGAGTTTTTTATTTTTCTTGTCTTTCCTTTATTATATATTTATTTTATTATATAGTATTTTTTCTTATTTCCCATGATGTTTCTAACTTCTATAACTATGCTCCCCAGCCTTTTTTTATTTATATGTCTCTTGATGGGAATTTCTTACCTGTGGTCAGGGATGCTCAATTTTTCAGGCATGTCTCTTACGTATGGTTATTTGAATTGTCCAAGTTTGCGATTAGATATAATCATAAGGTTAATGAGTTGAAATGTCTTTTTGTTGGTAGTGGTATTGATGTTTTTGCAGTGACTGAATCTTGGTTTAAATCTGCGGTGTCTTCGAGGACGTCGAGGGTTCCGGGGTACAAGGTTCTGTGTAATGTTGGCCGCATTGGTGGAGGTTTAATGCTATATGTACGTGATAATTTGTCATATAAGGTGGTTTATCGTTAGGAAAATTATGGTGTGTTAGTCTTTGTCTTTATGAGGAAATTTTTGGTCCTATGAGTAGTGTGCAGATACGAAAGTCGTTAGAGTCGTTTGGTTGTCTTGATGATGGTTGTGATGTCCCATTTATTGATGTCAATGCTGTTTATAATTACTTTTGTAGTGTTGGTAATTTAAGTTCGTCTCGGGATTTTGTGGTTAGTGGGGCCAATGGTTTTGATTCTTTTAGATTTGGATTTGTGTACATGGATGATTTGTTGCGTGCTTTGTAAAATGTTAAGTCAAATCCTGTAGGCGTTGATGGCATACCTATTAAGTTCTTTAAATATGTATTCTCTTACATCTATAGTCACTTTCAACATTTTGTAAATTGTATTTTTATGACGTCAACATTACCGCTTGCGTGGAAGGTTGCTTGTGTAGTGCATGTAGTGGAAGTGCAACTTGGTGGAAGAGTTGTGTCTGAAGGTCTAATTATTGTTATTTGAATTATTTTTTTTTTTATAAAAATAAATGGTTAGATTAATATAGTTATAGACTGTTTTATACTGTTGTATGTTAACATAAGATTTTGGCGATGATGGCTTATTTATATTGAATTGTATGAAATAAATAAAATGAAAATATACATAGCAGTGACTGCGAGAATTTGTAGCTTCAAAAATTAATACGTAGATCTAATATATCCTATCAGAAAAAGTTTTATGAAGAGGATAGTAAGGATCCTATAAAATATTATAGACATTTAATATGTGGTGTTAACGGTTAGCCATTTCTGGCAATAAAAACGTTATCATGGCTACAGACCGGTCGCTAGCAGCAAATATGCTATCCGACGCTAAACTTAATAATATACCCGGGAAATTAAACTGATTTCCGGGCGAAGACAAATATGGTCAATTTCACACATAACATATACCCTAAGTTCATAAAGTAGTGATTATTCACGAGTCCAGTTGAGGAAATTGTTCGGACAAGAACAACCAAAAACTTCTACGGACCTTATATCGTATTTACATATATTCTTCTCTGTAGTTGTTTTTTATTTAGTTCCCATTACAGAAATATAAATGTTTCTAATCCTCAGCGTTCAGTTCCAAAAATACCACTCTACAATATTGTCCAGTAAATAACTCTCGTTCAATTCAGCTTGGAATGATTACCATTTTCAAAAGATCAACACATTGGGCTCGCCAACAAAACTTAAATCAGTATGCCACGAAACATGTATACGCTATGGAACGACCCGAGACCCAGCCAAACTGTTACAACAACACCGGCAGCAGTAGTAATAACAAAATCGTCAAAAAAGCTACAAAGTGCGCTACACAATTAATGAAGACCAGTGCAGAGTTTCGGCGCATTTCAAGGTTCGGCTTAATATAATATACAAGTATATAATACTAGCTGGCCCGGTCTGCGTTGCCGGCCCGTAGTTTTTGTCTATTATGCATATTTGTCAAAGCATTATTATTCACAGATATGACTGATATAATGTTCACGTATTGGTCGATTAAAAGTGTTTTAAAAATGTTTTAATATACCTGTATCCTTATTTAAGCCGTGGGCTTCAATATTTAAACCTTGGACTTCAAATGTGTGGATGTGCTATACAAATCTATTAAAAAGTATATATCAATCGTATCCCCATGTAGGGGTCAAATTAATTTCTAGTATGGTAAAAATCGTAGCAAAATTTTCCAGTCAAATGAGCAGTAATTGGGAATTTACTGTATTCTGTACACCTCATAATTGAGGGCTGAATTATTTAAGAATAACCAAAGTTAATTACTTTTTTAAACCAATTAGCACCTCAGATTGTGCATTAGAGTCGTCATCAGTCCCCCTAACCATGTCGGTCTGTTTGTCCGCCAAAAGGTGGACTTGAGGAGGTTCTTTACATTGGGAAAATTCTAAAATTTGTAGAAATGTTGAAATTTTTGTGTAAGATTTCCACCCCTAATATACATTTTTAGCCAAATCCTTTGAAATATGGTAAAATCAGGAGGTACCTTTATATGGGCACTACTCCGAAACATCAACCTACATTGAAAACTTTATTCTACCCCAATCCAATATGACAAATAAGGCCAAATGAAAAATATAGCTATTTTACACCCATTACCTTAAGATGGGAATTTATTTTATTTGCCATTTAAATTGTAAGTTGGAGTTCCATAAAGTCCATATTTTTTCATCAGATAGTATAATTCAATGACGATTCAACAAATATTCGGTCCCGTGCTATTTCCTTATATTTGTAATTTATTCATGTTTTCACAATTCATTTCATATAGATGTAATCTCAAATCTACGTTCCCAACCAATATTCTCTTTACAAATTCAACGCAATACAAAATTTTCTTTTCTGACCACACATTAGATGTGAAAGTGGACTTGGGGATACTCCAATGTGGGACTTTACTTAAATAAATTCCTATGGGGCAATTATCTGTATATACAATTTTTTAGCCAAATCGATTGATGAATGTGGTCAAGACCCTACTCTGAAATTTTAAAATTTTATGCGAAGAGGTTCTCTACCCTCTTAGAAACAAAGATGCCAAATAAGGGCCAAAAAAATTAAAAAAGTGGCCAAGACCCCAAAAATAGCTTAAATCATACGATGGTTATATAAATATGAAATCGGGTTGAACCCTTATCCGTGAGTTATGATCGATATCATGACCTGCAAAAGCGATTTAAGGTATCTTGATGTTTTGTTTGGTGAAAAATTGTATATAGTAAAAATTATTCTTTATTTTGTTCCCAAAAATCCACTGAATTCAATATGATAATACAAATTTAAAAAAAATTACAAAAGAAGAATGACAAATTGAAAAAATCTTCAACTTGTTCGCTGTTTTTTTACAGCAAATGTTTAAAGATCCTTACAAAGCTTGTCAATAGAATGTACTATTATTTTAAAATTCGATTCCATTGAAATTTTAGTTTAGTTTTAGTTTATTTTGGTATGAGTTTAATTTTTGTATCTACGAGTTTCGTTCATTATACGAATTTTAAAAGTAGATTTAGTTTAATTCAATGTACGTTGTCAAATAAAGTGCCAACTGTTGACTATTGACATATTATACGTTTGATGGCAAAATGTTTGCGTTTAATGCTAAACATGTTCATCATGCTAAACATATATGTATACAGTAATCATATCGTGGAGTTTTTGCCATTTGACTTAATTCATTTGTTTTTGAACCGTTGTGTAACTATTGGCATTTGTTGTTGAACCATCTCTATGATGCTATTGGCGCTCTTTTAACATTTTTTACTCGTAGAAAAAGTTGCGAAAGTGTTGTTCTACTAAAATGAGAGCATTTGAAGAGTTGATGGTTTCTTGATGGACAAAATAAAAACAAGATTAAAAATAACTTTTGGTTATAGTAAAGATTCAACATTTGTGCACCTCGCCGATTAACATCCATAAATCCAGTTGAATTATCTTCAAATCAGAAGACCAAAACTGTGTTTAGTTAGAAAAATTCTCGAGACGATTTTTAGTTTTTCCGCACTAATACTCAAATTAGACATATAGTTTTCTTAGAACTTCTTCTTTAGGCATACAATAATCTCGCGATTTTTGGACTGTTGCGAACATTTATTGTTGTTAACAACTTGTAAGTACGTTGGTAAACTCTTCATATTTTTTTTGAGTTTGCTGGAACGGAGATTCAAACCAGCGAGGTTAGGATTTGCAGTCAGAAGTGTTTACTTTGTGCCACCTAATCTCATTACACTTTATGAACTCCAAAAACAAGTTTGAAGTCATTTTATTAAAAAAATTGCCAAAATCAACAATATCATGAATATTGGAAAGTACATTGTATATAATTTTCTGTCAGAGAAGATGGTATCTATTGTCAACTCCAAATGCCAACTTTGAAATAATAAGATGACTAAGTGCCGTTATATGGATAGTTCTTTGCAAAGCATTTTCTACAAACTGGAAGCACATACTGCCAAATTACAGCACATTTAGATCAATATCCCATCTTCAATAAAAAATTCAACAGGCCTAGAGCACATCTGAAAGTAAAAAGTACTTCTGAAAAAAGCTTATCAACCCAAATTATTTTGTTTGGAACTTAGAGTGATTTCTTCGAGGCATATAATATATTACGCATAAATAAAGCTCTACTTGCTACGTCGGGTCATTTCATTGATGTTAAAAATAAACCTTAAATGAACTTGCGGAATGTGCTTTTGCTGATTGCCGCTCATTAATTCGCCGTTTTTGTGGTTGCCTTCGAACAAGGCTTAGTGTAGGAAGAGATGCCCTATGATTACTGCAAATATGATGAACAATATTACCATTAATTAATGAAAAACAACAATTGACTCTTTGCTTTTTTCGTATATTGAACAAAATTCGTAGATACGGAAATTAAGTTAATATCACAATTGTGTTTCAAGGTATGAAAATACCATTAAATAAATAATGTATTTGAACCAGGTAAGACCACTGCGATGTACACCCAGTGTACGAATTGTGGTCGAAGCCCCTTAGCTCTTCCCTATGGCTTTCCTACATGAATAGCGCGCAATGAGGCCATTCTTCGCATCTAGATGTTCTTGCTTAAGTTTAAACGTTGGTCGAAGAACGTACCGAGATATTTAGCGCACGAGGAAACATTCAGTGCAACTCCGTCTAGTATAGGAAGCGGACATTGATCTATTTACCGTGTTTTTGTGTATAATACAAATGAAGTGTTTGCAGGGTTTACCCTAACCATTGTCAAGGACACAATCCAACAACTGTAAAAGTGCACTCTGCATTAGGTCTCAAATAGGTGGAAGAAATTTACCACTTGCCTTTCTTCGAAGTTGGTCAAAAATCACATGTATTTTATTGATAATCAGAAGCCATAACACAGGTGATAGAACTCGCCCTGTAGTTTCCCTCTGCTGACAGTTTTCCTAATAGAACTTTCCACCAAGCTTGACCTCCTTCTTAATTTCCGTATTCCATCAAACCGGTTGGGATTTCTTCCCAAGGCAGGAAGGAAGGAACACGTTTTTGTCTCAGGATTTTCAATAACAGCCAAGGAAAAGTTAATGAAAATATACAATTAATTAGCTTTTTTTCTTCATAAGCTTCAGACTGCAGCCATGCATTTCCATCCTCCGTCTTGAATTAAAAAAACCTTCCTTAACTCCATTAGAAAAAATAATTTATGTTTTGTAAATATTTTCAGGGTCCACCAATTCACCAAAGTTGAAATGTTCTCAATATGCAGTGCGACCCAGTCGGAACATATGATTGAATGTTTTAAAAATTTGCAATTGGAACTTTTTAAAAAGTTAGGCCTTAAACTTCGACTCTTGGATATGCCTCCAAATGAACTAGGTGCTTCCGCATATCAAAAGTATGACATTGAAGCATGGATGCCGGGACGTGCAACATGGGGAGAAATTTCGAGCTGCAGTAATTGCACTGATTACCAAGCAAAACGCCTTAACATCCGATATAGAACTAGAGAAGGTGATATTAAATATACACACACCGTCAATGGAACCGCAGCAGCGATACCAAGATTGTTAATAGGACTGCTTGAGACCCATCAGGTACGAAGAGCTAAACAAAGTTAATATTTATTAAGTCATAGATTATATACAATTAACATTTTTTAGGTCGATTCCAATATAATTCAAGTGCCTGAAGTTGTTGCCAAGTACATGGAAACCGATATAATTTCTAAAGCAAAATTTATTCCCGAAATTAAACTTATTAAGCATTTAAAAAATGATATGTGAAACGAGTGGACAAAATGATGAAATAAAGCTTGTTATAATGTAAACTAGTTTTTCAGTCAATGGGCCCATTGCATCACCGATCATAATAAGTTTTGGCTGGAACCCCGCTAGCGTTTTTTAAAAAGTTGTCGGGTGTACACTAGTAATAGTTTGGTTGAAAAATTGCCATTAACTCTTGAAGTATTTTTATATTAACCTGTGAATTGGAAAATTTTGATTCCACTGTGAAGTATTCAGATCTTGGCGACTTTTTTTCTTGTATAGTGATGTTATTCCTATAATAATGTTAAATGACCGGTTTAGAAATTTGTTAAGTAACCCCTGTGACGCTGGGTTTCCGTGGTGAGATTTGCATTTAATAAGACAAAAAAAGCAAAAAGATTAAGAATTTTAAAATTGCAAAATTTTCACACGTCCTTTAATTTACACAGTTCACATTTTCTTTGCTTTTATAACCTTGCTAAATGTAAGAAAAAAAACCAGCTAAAAAATCGAATATCAGTTGTTACGGTTAACCAATTTACTGCAATCTACTCCGAAAGAAGGTGGTGCTTATTAAGAACCACATACACCAAGTGTAAGATAATTATGTGAAAACATGTAGCTGAAATCATAAATCAGTACAGCTAAATGATGACTTAACCAAATCGTAGACCCATATTGACAGTTCTCTTCAAGGATTTATTTTAGTATTGCAGCAAAAGTCTTATAAATTATTGTACAGGTTGATATAAATAATTACAAATCCTTATATGTCGAAAAAAAAGATTGCAAAACATGAAAATGATTACATTTTTGTGTAGTATTACAAATTACATAAAATATTGTTTGAAAAAAATGTGGACAAACAAAATGTAGTTAGTTGTGAAATCACTAATATGATAGATTGGGAAATTAGGCAATCCTATTACTAGTACCCTGTAATTCACATGGTAGAGCATTTCAGATACTAAGGCATTTTTATACCCTCCACCATACTATGGAGGGTATATTAACTTTGTCACTCCGTTTGTAACTCCTCGAAATACTCATGTCGGACCCAAAAAAGTATATATATTCTTGATCAGCGTAACATTCTAAGTTGATTTAGATATGGCCGTCTGTCTTTCGAACGAATTGAGATAGAAGGCTAAAATTTTGCACACATGTTTATTTTTCCAGTAGGCATGGACCATGTAGGACCACGTTTTCATATAGCCCCCATGTAACGGTACCACCCGAAATTCGATATTTTGATTATTTTAGCGACATTATTCTCCGGAATTGTTTCGAATTTGCTATTTGAAGTTCGTAATGGATACTACAGCCTAAGACAGAAAATTATCTGTGCAGGTCCCCGTCTTCGTATAGCCCACATATAACGGTACCTCCCTATAATCGGTATTTTGATGATTTTAGCGATATTAGTCACCGGAATTGTTTCAAATTTGGTATTTGAATGGGAACTTTAATCTGTGACAGAAAATTGCCTGGTCTTCGTATAGGCCCCATATATCAGTACCTCCCTATATTCGGTATTTTGACGAGTTAAGGTACAAAACCCACCCAAATTATTTGAGATGTCGTATTTAAAGTTCGTAATGGATGCAACAGCCTGTGACAAAAGAATTGTCTAGGCTGGTCCAGGTCTTCACACAGCTCCGATATAACGGTACCTCCCTATATACGATAATTTGATGATTTTAGCTACATTATTCACCGTTTATTTCAAGTTTCGAATTTGAATATGGCAAACAATGTCCACGTCGTATAATTTTTAAAATGTTAACAGAATTGTTTAAGGATTTTATTTTTTGAAAATTTTCAAATTCGTTAGGAATGGTGGAGGGTATTCAAAGTTCGGCCCCGTCGAACTTACTGCTTTTTAACTTGTTTAACAATAACCTTGTGCAGAAACTGCAGATCTTTCTCACTAACTGAGACCATATAAAGTATTGGAAAATTGAGACATAACGTATGTGCTATTGTATGCTACGTCTAGCTTGCATCGACTTCTGTGTGCAAAAAGTTCACATCCAAATAGTAAACCATTCCTTATGTTAGATTGGCTTTATCTGGATCACACGATGCTTCATTTGACAGACTCCTGGACACTAACTGTTTATCCCTCACTGGAGACGGCGTTATCGATCTGAGTTAATTTTACTACAATTTGCAGTTTTAGGTGATGTGTCCAGTTATACGGCAGTTGAGGCATTTCTTTCGGTTCTTGTGCGACTAATTTTTCGTTTTATTTAATATCAACAATCCTGCAGAGTCTCATTCGACTTCTGGTCCTGCCCTCTTTTTTATTTTGCGTAATTGCAATCACATTTTCATAGCTGTTCTAGATGCGTACAGCATTAACACGCCTTCTATGTAAAACAGAGCTACTATCTTGTCGTTGTCGTTCAATGAATTTCTTACCACTGATTTGAAAACGTTGAATGTAGTTCAACCTTCTTGGTGGTAGTTGATAATTCCAATATATTCAGTATGTTAAAAAAATTATGCGGAGTGTGTGTATTTGTTTTACATGAGCGGCTATCCCTAGGTGTCATATATATACTCCATTAATGCTTTAATTTTACTTCACCTCAGCTGTGATATGGACACTATAATTTGCATGTTTTTTTTAATCTTACAATGTGCGCACCATATGGGATAAAATGTCAATATGCTTATTTATCTAAAGTATTTGAAAGTCCCCATTACTGGATTAAACTCTTTATTTTATTATCCTCATTACTTCATATTTTGAATTTCAAACCATTTGAATGATGAAATGAATCCCTTAGCCTGAAGGAGCTCGTAAGATTGTGGTTTCTTTTGACATTATCATTATTATCTGGGAAAATGGGTGTATATTAATTAGCATAAAATATAATAATGATAACATAATAAGATACGAATGAAATGAATTCAGAGTTTATTGAAAGTTATTACAGCTTTAAATAGATTGTTATTTTAATTCATACGCAATAGGGAATTTATTTTAAGAAATACCAAATTTACAAAGTGACTGAAAGTGAAACAGGTAGTTGGTTTGTGTGTACCGCTTTATTAAACCAAATTTTAGGGGCTATAAATTTAAGTATTGTACTTATATTGATTGCGCCTTCTACAGCTTGCTGCTCCCGTGCTCGTTCTACGTGCTGGTTGTACGAATTCTGCTTCACTACTTGTCAAGTGTGGTGGTTAAGCTTTTGTAAGATAATACTTCATCGTAGCACCGGTGAGAAGAAGTATAATGTCAGCTGTAGACCCACGACGGATCTCCGAAAATTCAGTTTGTACAAACTTTTTTAGTCAAAGGCTCACGACGGCACTTCAATGGCATCAATGTTTCTCACTTTGATTCGGATTCAACTTCTCTTACTGCTTATATTAAAGGCCCAAGACCGTCCTTAGATTCGAGTCTAACGTCACTTAGTATCGGGTCCATTTGAGGTTTTATCATTATTTATTATCATTTTTCGTTATTAGTTTTTGATATCAAAGGACCAACATTGTTATGATTTAAATTTAATTTCAGTTAAATTTCAGATACTAATGCATTTTTTAACAATAATCTTGTGCAGAAACTGCAGAGCTTTCATACTAGAAAGTCAAAACTGAGACCATATAAAGTATTGGCAAACGTTTAGGTTGCGTCGACTTCTTGAGTCACAGTATGCAAAAAGTTCACATCCGTATAGTAAACCAGGGACTAGTTATGTTTTTATAAGGGGGCAACGGATGTGTAGTGGTGTAAATGATTAAATTAACCATAGTACCCGTAGTTTACTAAAGGTTTATCTAGCGATATATTAATGTAATTTGATGAACTTAGTGAACTTATACAACGCCAAGGTTTTTCATACTGGAAACTATAGGCACTTTCTCGCAATTTTCGATAATCAAGTATACTGATTGGGAGAAATTTTTTATGTACGACATTGTCATGTCTGTTGAGGTAGCAGATAATTTGAAAAACCTCTTAAGCTTAAGAGACATTGTGCAGTAGTCGATAGTATCGAATTTTTCTGAGTAGTCAAGGAGTACATTAAAAGAGACCTGTGTCACTCCTACTTGACTCTGTGACCTCTAACAGCGCGGAAGTACAGCTATGCCCAGCTATAAATCCTGATTGTACATCACATAACGATATCTATGCAATTTTGACATCAACAAGTGCCAACTATCTTTTTGGCAGAATAAAAGAATTCCAAGAACAACATTTTTGGCGTTTTGATTCATTTTGTCTAGTAACAAAACATAACAATTCATTGCATTGTGTCTTTATTCATTTAAAACTTTTATATCTTAATTTCACATTTAGTGACTTTTGACAGCACAGCAAGCTTCTTCAGCGGTTGATTTGCAATGACCTAACCAACAGTTAATGTGCTTGCAAAACAACATTCGTTTCAAATAATTGTTTTCATGAATATTTTTTCTTTCAATCAAAAATGTAATACGTAATGACAATTTGTCTTTCCCGTACAGACAAATAAATCCTTTCCTATCTATGGAGGAAATATCTGTTTATACATATATTGCTAACGATTCTCAAAAATTCACAACTTAACAATTTCTTAGTACATTGTCTCAATGTCACAATTTTACACATATACAAAAATACAGAATTTTTTTTTATTTTAATATCTTATAATATTACAAATCGATTTTCAAGTACCACATCTCTCATTTGCTTTAAATGGAAAAATTTATTGCTGGTATGGCATAATATTTGCTCTCTTATCATTTCAACTGATTGACACTCGTACTACAAAATCTTAAACAATTTTTTTAATATATATTGTTTATTACACCTGACACATCTATTTGAATGCATAAATTGCGCATTTTGATGTGCGCGAAACTTAGCGTCAATATTACTTTTAGTTTTTTTTTTTTTTTAAATTTTCGATATTTCCAACAAATTGGACTTTGTCGTTTGATGATCAAACATATCTCTGGCACTTAACTTGTAATCTTTGTCGCCTTCAGTAAAATAGACACTTTCAAATGCTCTGCGTACATTGTAACAACCTTAATCTTTTGATTCTAATTTCTTTCTATT